TGGATAAAAGCATAATAGTGAGGTAAAAGGTAATACTTCTTGCTGCTCAAATAATACCTCAGACAAATGCCTTTTTAAGTTGCAGAACATTAAGAGGTCAATTTGCTTTTCAGTGGAACTTTGTACAAGTTTGGTGTCTAGTCTGACCTTGTCACCAGGTTACTCTGCAGTCTCTCTAAGATGGGAGACACCTGCAGGTCATTCTTCCCATCCTAAAATGTGTGTCTAAGACAATCAGGATCTAAAAAATGTGTATGATAGGCAAATGTGAGTCTAAGATACACTGCTTGAACAGTTGTTAATATTGTTAATTAGCTTTCTTGCTAATTATATTTATATGAAGATAAAATTTTCAACTAAATAGCAAAAAGATACATTATATTTGCAATCTTTAAGTGTCTGAGGGAGATCAATAACTTTGTGAACAGAACATGTTACAAAAAAAAGTAATTCTTGCAATTGCTGGTGTTAGGCTATTTGAAACATTTAAGTAACGTTTTAGTTTAATAAACTTAATTAGGATTTTGTGGTGCCGTTTATGCTTCCACATTACGTTTTACAATGTTAGTCAGGCAGCTGCTCAACACCCATGTCTCAAAGAAAGAACAAGATGCTTCTTGTGGTACCTTGTATATGAACTCTACAGACTGAAGATAAGTTTGTCAGCAATAGGTTTGGAAATACCCCCAGGAAAGAAAGAATTACGGAAGAAAGAATTACGGAAGAAAGAATTACAGAAGAAAGAAGAACAGGAGAAGAGACTCATCTGCACATGAAACAGAAAATAGATAATGTTACTCTATGAACCCTAAATAATACTGAGAAGAAACAGAAGACTGAAAATAAAAGAATTGGAAGCCAACTGATAGTTGGATAGATTGTCAACATCCCTCAGTTTGCTCTTTATAAAAATGCACTTACAGTGTCAAGCAAAAAATACAGTAGTATTTCACCTTCATCATCAAGGAAGAAGAGGGTTCAAATACAGAATGCAATATGAAGTTTTCCCAGTTTGTCTGAAATCTTTTTGAATTGGACACTAGCTTAACTGAAAAAAAGACTGGCATTTGTCTCCTTTAGGTGCTCTCCTGCTTCTCTGTCTTCAGATGGTTTGACTTAAATGTGATTGATTTTATTCGTATAGCAATTGAACATTTTCTCACATTGGAAACAGCAAAAGCAACCAATAGTTATCCTGTTTTAATTGTCCAGATTCTACATCCTGCAAAATTACACATACTGTGTGTTGGTTTCTTTTTACCTTCATTCTTTAATTGTATGAAATGAATCACTTCTTCTAAAATAATGAATTGTTCTTTGATTTTACCTGTTATGTGCCCTTCTTTTTCTGTAATTTCAAAATACCTGTAGGTCTGTTTCTTTCACTTTTTAATAGTCTATTTGTAGCCTAACTTCTACTTTCTCCACTCTATTAGGTTGTGAATAACTGTTTTTGAGTTTGTTGCATATCTGTGGCACTCCTAAATTTTAATTAATAGCAGTCATATTGCTTCTGGATAAAAATGTTCTGGGCAGTTTCCCAGGGGCTATTTCTTAACGTTTGCAATTAGTAATTAATTCACTGTTTGTGTTGAGTTTATCCAGAACTCCTTCAATTTTGCGCATGCAGTATGCTTAGTAAGTCTTTGCCCACATAAAAAGCAACAGGTATTGTGTGCTAATCAGAGAAGTCTTTCCCTAAAGCACTATTTCTCAACAGAGTCATATGGTAGAATATTGACTTATAAAAATGGTTCTTTTAAACATGGCAGAGAAAAACTCACATTTAGTTATTTATCTAGAAACCATGCTCTTTATGGGCAGTGACTAGAAAGCAGTGATCTGTGATTTCTTACACACATAAAATATTTTTCGATTCTTTAATGAGAATATAATAGCAATATATTTCATCTGTGTATTGCTACATTGGGCAGTTGCTTCTGTATTTGGTAATTTTCTGCTGCTGAAACACTGACTATTAGTATAGCATTTTTCATAATTAGACAGCATTTTATATTAATAATTATTTCATAATATCAGTTGTAACTTAAAAGCTCTATGGATTCGTACTGTTGTGGAAAAGGAGAAGAGGCTGATTGAGAGGGAAGTAACCAATATGGTTTGAAAGTGAGAATTTTAATTTCAGAATAATATTTCATTGTTCTGACGCAAATTCTAATGTTTGAGCTTTAATGTTGGCAATTGTGTGACAAACTCTTCATTAGAAAGTGACAGGGAGCTTCAAAGACAAGAACATGATGTTTAGAATTCAATCATTCATCTTCTAATACTGAAAGTAAGTAAAAAACCTTTTCATCACTTTCTGTGATTAGAGATTTATTTATTGGATTTGATTATGAAATTTGCTTTGTTGTACAGCGTAATTTTTGCTATTCTCTTTGTAAAATACCAAAATGTAATTCTGTTCGAAAGACTATTTTCCTTTTGTTTATCAACAAAAAAGTGTTTGAACTGACGTAAAAATGTAATTGTTGGGGGAAAGAGCTTGTTTTGAGTAATACCACAACTTGCATTTCTCTTTCACAACAGTAGTCAGCAATGAATAGAAACAGGTGTTTCTAGGATAGAAGCAGTGTTTTTCTTCTTTTAGACTACATAATATATTTTTGAATCCTCTAGTGTTTGTAAAAGTAGGTTTTTTTCAGTGGAAATAATTTCAAGATAAAATATGACAGGTTTTAAAGACACATTGTTAATGTGGCTTACAGTGTCATTTCGTGTTTCCTAGAAAGCCACAATGCGCTGTTTCTTATGGAAACAGTAGAATGTAAGAGCAAGATTACATCAACCACAAGCTGAAACATGACATTATTGTCTGAACAGTAGCCTGCCAAATTACTTGGTTTTAATCTATTCTTAAACACAACAGAAAGGGTCATCACAGTGCCTGCTGAATACATAGTATACAATCTTCTATTTTTCAAATGAAGATCAAACATTTAAGATCTGAATTGGCATTTAATGACAGGAGAGAGAACTGAACATCTTTTCTGTTTATAGGAGAGTTAGGTAGATCTATTGGGTATGAAAGGTTGGAGGTTTTACTCATGCAGTATAGAGAACTTTCTGGGAGGGTGACATACAACTCATAAACAGGTTGCTATATTACGTACATGAAGAATTTTAATTTTTTCTTAATGAAGTATGTCTGAGTCTGCATGTGAGTCCTTATTTGTCAGCCATCCAGCTGGAGAATGTCCAGCATTGTGCTTAATCCCCCTGTCCCACATCTTGAGCACTTACCAGAGGATGTGGGTGAATGCAGAAGGGGGCCAAACCTTGCCATTTACAGCCAGTAATAAATGGCTGAGCAATGCATAAGAATTAATGTGGGTTTTTTACACTGCCTTTCATGCTAGTGACAATTCCTCATCTGTTCCATTGCAAGATTAGATGTGTTAACCACCCATGGCATAAACTGTCTGTTATTACTTTAGTGGTTTAATGTACCTCACTTGCCTGTGCTGTGGAACTGACAAGGGGTACTTGGAATCACGTAGAGATGACAATGCTAAATGCAGCTGTTCTTCCTGCTTCTCAGGTGTTGGCTATTAGGTTGATGCTATAGTGTTTAGCTATGTTCTAATTTCTGCACCAGCATCAGTACCTTAGGAGGCTTACATGACCAAAGCATTCATATTCACACTTACTGGACATACTTACAGACATCTGAAGTGAGGCTTCCAATTTTTTAAGTTTCTCTAAACTTGTCCACCCTGTATTTTCGGAGGCAAGAGTGGAATCACACTGCTTGCATTCTGAGCAGATATCTGGGTGTATGTGGTGGTCAAAGTGCTGAGTTTGACACCACAGACTTCTCTTCACCTGGATTTAGATTAGCTAGAGTACAGGAAGAGTGAGCTCTTCTTGTTTTCTCTAGACTGCATGGTTTTACTTTAGGTAAATAGTTTGATTTCTGAAGTCCCAAGACACTACAGTTGACCCTTTCACACATACTTTTAAAAGCCTCTGCTATTACTTTATGCTTTGCAAAGAACAGATTTGTCTTAAAGAATTCTGAGTAGCCATCCACAGCCTATAGATTACAGCAGAAAGTAATTGCTGACTGAAGACTGTTTAAAAAAACCTTTTACCTTTTAAAAAATTTATTTAGAGAAGCAGTGAAAATGTCACAATTTCATTTTAATACCTAGGCACTGTTTCCATAGCTTGTTTATCTTTTTTTAATGTTTAGGGCGTTTTGAATCAAAAACCCTGGATACTGAACTTTATTGCTTTAATCAAGAGAACAAAAGCTTTTCTTATACATAAAACTGTTCCTAATTAAATACTTTAAGAAAGTGGGTCAAGCTGAACAGGAACAAAGCACTCTCTTATCCCAAAATAAGAGCGTTCACATATGGAATTATTCAGAAACAGCTCTTAGTACTTTAAAATTCCCAGGCAGTGTTAATCTGTCTTATCTTTCAAATGCAGGCAAGCTCTATAGTTTTCTTTCCCTATTCCTTTCGTATTGCAAACACAAAACACATTAGATGTTAAAAATTTGCATCAGTTGATTAGATTGTGATACCACCTTTGGCAGAAGAGGAGATTTGTTAGTGTATCTTTAATATTAAAAATGTTATTTTCACATGAAAACAAGTAAAAGCAATCATTATTTTACATGGAAAATATACCTGCTTATGGATGTACTCTTTTAGAAGATTGTGTTGAATTCTTGGTGATCTTTATTATTGGTAAATTCTGCTTTCTATACATTGAAATTTTCTTTCCTGATACATACAATACCTTAAATAACACACCATCCACAATTCAGATTAGCTGTTACGTCATTTGCTTCTTCCATTTGTCTTGCAGTTATCTAGTCAGAGCTTCTCATATTTTTTTTCCAGAAATACAGAGAATATCTGGTTTATCTTTCTTCATAATTCATTACCTGGATTGGTTTGAATGTACTTAGTGGTTATTTATATTCTTGGGGACAGCTTTTCTTAATTTCTAAAAGCACAAAACACATGAAGGCATACTGTTTCTCCAAATGGAGTTTTCAATGTTATAGTACAACTCTTTCTATACAGGCATAAAATCCCGTGCATTTCAGAGTAAGCCTAAATCTGTAATTTGAAATACACGTGTGTAAATCATAATGCCTTAGTTATTTTAGAACTATTGCACATATGTTCCTGATAAAGAGTCATCTGTATTTTTACTTCTTCTCTTTATCATGGGGCCTTTAAATGACCAGTTTTCACAATGATGCTGTATTTATTCAGGTGCTTATGAGGAACAAGGGCTAAGAGGTTTTAGAAATTTAGTTCTTTCTGATTTATTATTTGTGCTTTCAATTTTAAACTCTCCAAACACCTTCAGTCCTTTTCTTCTTTCTTGGTTTGGTAGTTACAGGGCCAGTGGTGGTGGGGCTTACCTAATGAGATTCTAAGGAAAAGAAAATTATTTTGGGAGAATATTGCTCTGTGCTAGAATAGATTTAAAGGTAAGAACTGTACAGTAGAGTGCACTAGTTGAGTACAAAATATTTTTGAATATTTGAATATTTTTGAACTTCTACTTAGCATCCCTCTTGTCTAGGCTCTAGATGAGTTGCACTGCCCAAACACATGGAATTAGTCAGCTGCATGTATCTACTAAGTTTGTCTTCTGTAGCAGTAGCTATTCTGACTATAGCTTTTTTTATTTGAACACTTATGTCTATTGGTTTATTTAATGTGGAAGAATCTGTAAGGGGCTACATTCTGTCACATATACATTTTTGCAAATTTGTATTGTTATGATCTGTCAATGCAGTTATATTAATAGTTTTGTACTAGTAGTGCAATTATAGTAAGAGATTTACAGATTTACAGTCTACAGACTCCCAAGGGCTGTTTTGCAAACATATTTTGGTCCATAGTCCTGGTCCATTGTCTTTTGCACTGTGAAATATAACACTCGCTGTGTCTGTTAATGTATGTTATCTACCTACTGAAAAGTGCATTTCATAGATGTATTATGTCAGCAGATTTTGAATTAAAGGAGGGGGGTTGCTATATGTCTGTGTATAAATAAAATTTACAACTCAAAAAAAAGGTTTCAGGTGAATATCTTTTCTAGGAATTTGGCCCCAGAATAAGATGCCTCCATTTCCAGTTGTGTGCAAGAGTCCAGTATCTCAGAGCAGAGTCAAGAAAGTGCAGGCTAAACTGAATGCTGATTGAACAAGCCAGTGGGAAACACCCAACATAGAATTATGTCAACAACTCTCTGTCTTTCTTTGGTTTTTGAGTTAGGCATCTCACCCTACAGGGATCTAAAGCCCAGTATCCACTGTTCGTGATACAAGGGTACTTAAATCAGATTTCACTTTTTTTTTTAATTTTAAAGAGGAAACACTTATTACACACATAGTTGGCTACTCAAATTGGACATCAGGGTCTTTTTCTTCCCCCAGCTTGGGGGAATTCAATACCCCAAGGGCTGTAAAAGCCACAACTGGCAGCTTAGCATAGAAGTGGAATGATGCACCTTTATTCTTCAAGAAGCTTCACCAGAGCAACAGAGAATTCAAATCTCACAGAGCTGAAGAATAAGCCCCACCTTGCCCCAAGTGAGACTCTATAATCCTGTGATTATTTGCTGGAGTGTCTTGTCTTATGGAGGTCACAGGCACAATATTAAAATGCCCACTGGACTCTCAATCTTGTGGCTGATTTAGGAAAGGGAGTGTCCAGTTTCTGCTGGACAGTAGTAGAATATGTGGGTTTTACTCAGCTTTTGGATGCAGATGCATCACTCCCGTCTAAATGCTCTAAATGTTTGGTGCTTGTCTTTTTTGGTTATTCATTAGAGACACATTAGCAGTATATAGGATTGATATGTACTTACATATATATATGTCTCTGTGTCTGTATTTGCATGTTTGTGTATATGCACATGCATGCATGTTTACTGTGAGGTAATGCAAAATGTTCTTTTTAAGCAGCTCTTTTCTTGCTGGAAACCTTTTAATCAATTCAGCCACAGCAGTGGGTGGTGTCTGCATAGAGGAGGTTAAGAAAAAGCGCACCAGAAAAGCATTGAACACATGTGGGTTTGGACAGCCTTTGTCTATGGGACTTGTATGGTACCTTAACATGTATCAAAGCTGCTTCCTAGCAGTTGCTCAGTAGATTCCTCATGATAAGCTTTGGATTGAATATATCCCAGATGTTCATTTTCTCATGTATTGTAAGTACATGATTCATTGAAATGTTCTTTTCTTTGGAAACAGTTCAGAGAATCTCATACATGAAGGTCCATTTAAAGGAGCATCTTTTTTGACTGTTGCATGTTGTTATCTTTTGTATGTGAGCTTATTTTTCAAGCTATGCTATATTTGACATTCTTGCATAAAAGCTTCATTAGCACTTAAACAAAAAGTTCATTTTTAACATCATTAAAATACACAGATAAATCCCATTTTATCACTTAGTATAAAATAGCAGTTTAAAAATCAGAGCAGTTACTGAAGGTGTTACCAATGATTTCTCCTGTCTCCGGAAGTATTTATCATTGCTAAGGGTGAAAACAAATGTCTCTTTCCCTTCTCTAAAAGGGAAACACAGTTGTAGTTTGTACAGTACACAGAAATTTTATGGAAATAAACAGAACCCAGAGCAAACAGAAACCATTTTACTTCCTCTAGAGCCTGTTTACACATGAGTATATTTTGTAAAGAAGTACTTTTCAATACACTGAGGTAGAGGAAGAATTTATTTCACTTAGTAGACATAATATTCTCTCCATGTTCACACAGCAAATGCAGAATCACATTCCCATTTTTGTGACCTTTATAAATATCACTGTGTCCTTGGAGTATAAAAATATGCAGGAATTCCCACTCAGTTACTTACATTTTACTCTGTTAATTTTAGCAGCTCAGTCAAAGCTCCCAATTCCTAAATTTCCTTTTAAGAATGAAAATATTTTTCTCAAAATGATATAATTTTTCTACAAATAGGTAATAGGTGTTCATAGATAAAACTAAAATTCCAGAACACACTTCCCTCATAGTTATAAATCTTAGAAACTGAGATTGAAAGACAATAAGCATGCTAGATGAAGATACAAGAAAGTCTTCTAGATGTAGTGGTAGCTGGCTTTTTTTGAGAACCTTCCAGTAAATCACTCCTAGTTGTTAGCTCACTTTTGACTCCATAGATTTCTAGGACTTTCAGATTGTGCATTTTCAGTGTTGCAGGCTTTATATTACGTAGATATCACTGCTACATCTTTTTACAGAGATGTGGTAGAAAATCATAATGCATAATCTTTGCTTCACTTGTTCTTGCTTTACTTTTTCCCTGTCTACATAACTTTCAGATTAATGTTGTCAGTATTCTTATATGACTCAAAAAATAACTTACTGATTTATTTGGAAATGTGTGTCTTTTAGTTTTAAATCTGTAATTATATTCTACTAATGTTTGAGTCTCTTGGGAAAGTACTATAATTAGGTCTACATTATTTTAATTAATTCCAATATTTTATGTTATCCATAATTGGAGGCCAATGAAAGACTGGTAGAACTATTTGTTTAAATCAAAATTAAGAGGCTCTTGATCTGTAGAAAAATAATAACAGTGTTCTAGAAAAAAATTTGTTAACCTTGGTGCAGGACATGACTTCTGTGTTACTCAGATTTTTTTGAGAAGAATGTATGAAAGGAATAATAAGAATCTGTGTATGACTAACCAAAATGAGTTTAGTTCACAGTCATCTGAGAAAGCAGGAGTTGGCTGGCATTCCCTTTCCTTTCCTTTCCATTTAGAATGAGCTTTCTACTTTGGTCTCAAGAAAATCTTGGCACAGAATATCATAAGAAATGAGTCAGTGTTACTGCCTCTTCTGATCTTTTAGCAGAGACTATCTGGCACTTCTCTTCATGGTGATGAATCTGGTAGGTTCACACACAGACAGCCATGCCAGTGTAATGCCTATTAGTTAAAATTATACCAATAGTTACCCAGATTTCAATCCATTGGAGTGTTTGTGGTGTGTTGGTAGACCACATGCTAAGGGATCACCTGGAAGTGATAAATACAGGTTATTCACTACACTTGCTGCAAAGATATATTAATAATTAATTCATTTTTTGTGCCTGTTTGTGAGATAAGCATTTCAGATTCCATGCTCTTTCCCCCTTTCTTTTCACAGTGTAAATTAAAACAGCAATCAAAAAATTGTAAAAGGAAAGAAACAGCTTTTTAAAATTACAGCCAGTAAATGATTGCTGGACTAAATGTTTACAGTGTTCAAGAATATGTGAGCTAGATCCTGAAATACTTTTCATTGTCCAATTTCTGTCTTTTTAGGAAGGAGTGAGAGCAAAGTTTTTCCTGAAATAAGTTTCTTTTAACTGGTATACTCAAAGCAGAGCTTAACAGTTTAGCGCAATTGCTGTCTGCAGTTGCAAAGATTGTTCTCTGTGTATCAGTTTTAGCTGGCATAGATTTGGGCTTCACCTTGTACATACTGCTTCAGGTGACATTGTGCATGTCAGATGAAAGCCACAGTGCTGCATGTAAATCAGATAAAACAATTCAAGCAAGAGGGTGGCCTGAAAGATCCATACTTGGTTTCTGTTTGAAACTCAAGGTGGAGACTGCTGAGTTTCTGAAATATAGCTGTTGAATCTACATGAAGTATAAAGCCAGAGATGGTTCCATAGTCCAGCCTCCATTATAGCATGGGCTGTTAGCCCACATGCCCCTTTGCTGAGCTGAACAGGTTTAGGTAGGCTGAAAAGATGATGTTCCTGTGGAGTCTCACAGATATGTGGTGCAGGTGTGGGACAAGGATGTTTTGCCTGCTGCCAGTGGCCAAAGCCTCAGCAATGGGGGAGAATTAACTGCTTGGCACACTAAGGTGCTTTCTCATCTAACTGGCACGGAGGAAAAAAGAATTCCTCTGGGCACTGATCTTGGTCATCCATCTGACAGCCTGCAGATTTCATGTGTGTGAGCCAGTCAAGCACTTAAAATTGAGGAT